ATTACATCCATTCATTCAATTCATTTTCTACAGGTGGAATATCTGTCAGTGCAGCATATCCTGATCAATACTGGATCTTTTAAGCCCAAAAAAATAAACTTCCTCCGTACTCAGCAGTGGACAAAAATGTAATGGAAGTTTTTTAATTACGTCTGACATATTTTTCTTGCTTATTGGTGCAATATATACACCCAAACCAATCAGCAATAGGCTGATTTGATTCAATATATAGACAGACAATTAATCACTCCAAAGCTCACCTTCTCCAGGTGACCTGAAACATCACAACTTTCTCTGCTGTAGCTCGATATTTAGACACAATCTATGTGAGATTCCCTGTGTTTTGCCGGTTGGGGGAAGTCACAGACAATTCAGGTAAACCCTTGTTAATTAATGGCCTGATTTACCGTCTAAATATGTGTGTGTGAAGGACTTCTTCCACTCAAATTGCCACTGCTGCTTTTCCTTGTGTAAGCTATCGTTCACACCATGTCTGCGTTGCTTGTGCATGGCAGAACATCTTGATTTTTATTTTGGTGCCCATGTTAACAGATTAGAGCGGTCACACTGCTGCAGACACAGCTGAGACATGAGTGAGGACACTTCACCAGAGAGTGAAGGTCTCCTCTTTTTTACCACAAGCTGCACGTGTCTGCCAGCAAAAGAGGAAAGTGAAAAGGATCTGTTGGTAGTCACAGCCACATATTTCAGTACAGTTTAAACTTCCCTTTCAAAGTAAAAGCACTGTAGTAATCTTTTATTTTTAACATGACTTCTACGGTTGAAGGGCAGTATCTTTCCACTGCGCTCTCTCGGGTTAACAACCCACATGTGACTGCTTTCTGGTTACCACTCTTCACATTTATGTTTAGTTCCTTGCTCAGGGTGTTTTAAGTGCAATATTGTAAAGGTTGTTTGCAGCAGTGTTTGTCCAGGGTCTATTGAATCACAAGTGGGTATATATTTGCCTTGTGAACTCTGCTTTCCCTATCCTTGTGTGCTTTTGGTTGTTTGTTTATAGTTTAGTTTTTTCCTTTTTTGTCTTTTGTCGTGTCCGAGGGCTTAGAGTTTACGGCGCTTGTGAACATTTACCTCGGCTGCATTTAGCTGCAGCCCCTCCCCTGAGATAGGATTTCCCTGTCACTTCATTATAGATGCTTTAATCTTGTTGAGCCTGGTGAAATCCCTGATTAAACAACATTTATTTTCATACACGTTAGTTTCTAACTATGTATTTATATATTTTACGATATTTCATCAAAATAGTTCATTTAAAGAACTTTGTTAAAAATTAAGAATGTTATATATTTCTAAATCTACCTCCATATTCATTTGTGAAATCCTCTGGTAGAAGAGGTGCAATAGGTGGAATAGTACGACAACTCTTACTTTATATTCTTTAAGTCCTAAGGTGGCATTATCTGTACCTATAATAAATTCTGGTAGACTCTCGTAGGACCTTACCTGGTTAGATATAGATGGATGATGCATTATATCACATCCTGTTTTATGACTTCTGGTACAGAATGTGTGTAGCTGAATGCAAAAACTTACCTGCTACAACAATCAGATGTAAGGTGGAGTTATGGCGTCCTCTTCTGTTCTGGGCTTCACAGTAATAATTCCCACTGTGTTCAGGTCTGAAGTCAGTGATGGTGAAGATCTGTCCTGATGCTTTTGGTGAGACTTCATTCTCCTTGTACCAGGTATAATTAGCTGCTGGGTTAGCATCACTGCTACAGGTCAGAGTCACTGAACTGCCCTCCACTATCTCACCAGAGGGACTCACTGACACAGAGGGAACCCTCGGAGCATCTGCAAAAGATAAAAAGATGAAGATAGCTTTCTTTGGTGCTACATGTTCTGAAGAATATGAAATGTTTCAGGTGGTGTTACTGGCATGAAGATCATTTCTAGCAGACAGTGTTGATAACAGGACAGAAGTCTTTTTTTTATGTAATGTTTGGGCTTTTTTTTGCTTTTAATTGACAGTGACAGCTGAAGATAGACTGGTAAGGCAGTCCTTCCAGAACAGTTTTTTTGTGATTGTTGCGGGCAAAAATCCTTGATTATGCGGCACGTTTTCTTAAAAAATGCGATATTTATGCAATTTTATGCATGAAATTGCGGGAACTTGCAAAGATTGCAAGAAAGTGCTGGGAATATTTAAGTTCTCATCTTGTTTTATTTCAGACTTTAATAAACACATGGCTCAAACTTACAAAACATTGTCAAACAAGTTCTGTAGCTTTACAAAAGGAATATGCTACAACTTCTGTAAAAATGAATAAATAAAATATGAAAAAATAAATGTGTGCTTCCTGTTTTACAGAGATAAATATACAAAACAGACATCTTCTGTTAAAATAAGTGTTTCCAATGCACAAAGTGCAATCTCTTACTGTAACGTAAATTTACATACTACTAATAGTATACCTATACTTACAATACTGTAAGGTTTTCATCGCGGGGTTTACAGCTTTTCGATGATGTTCACGTCACGTAATTACGTCACTTCATAACGTCACTTCATAACGTTCCCATGGCAACAGGGGAAAATGGCTGCTCTTGGGTGAAGTAAACGCAACATATTTCAACTTTCTGCTAAGATATATGAGACATTTTTGCAACGGAAATGCATGGATTATGAAATCATGCAAGCCCCGCATATTTTGCGCAGAAATCTGCAATTTATACAGCGAAAGTGCAGGGTATTTGAAAAAAATGCGGCCCATGCATAAATATGCAGACTTTGGCTGATTATGCATTGAATTATACGATCGCATAATCACGTTTTTCTGGAGGGACTGGTAAGGGCTATCCAGGAACCCAAAGACAGAAGTCTTTGGCCACATTAAATGTTGGATGGATATTTATGTGTGGGAGCATCTGAAACTTTAATGATGGTTTTCTGGATTGCTGATGGTTTGAATCCCCTGAACATCCGTACAGATCTGGGAGCCAATTGTAAATAAAACTGCCTTTTCATCATCTACTGTAGCTGCTCAGTGAACTACAGCAGCAGACTGTGAATGTGAAACAGACAGAGCTGAAAAAAGTGCATGATCAGCAAAACATCTGACTGAGTAATAAAGCTTTAAACAGTTGTCATTAGTTACAAGATGCTTTTTAAATCAGCTGCATTTTACTCACATTTCACATTAATAGAGATGTATTTATATGTTCTCCTCCCCAGTTTGTTCTTAGCTGTACAGTAATACTGTCCAGAGTCAGAGGACTGGATGGACCTGAAGACAAGCTGTGGTTCTCTACTGGGAGGTTGAAGGTATCGATTTCCATTCCTCTTGTACCAGGTATAAGTAGCTGCTGGGTTAGCATCACTGCTACAGGTCAGATTCACTGAACTGCCCTCCACTATCTCACCAGAGGGACTCACTGACACAGAGGGAACCCTCGGAGCATCTGGAGGAGAAAACATGAACATGTTTTAACTTTAAGATGCAGACGAGTTTTCACAGTGGAACTGGAGATTAAGATGTACAATATAAATGCTGAACAACAGACAAAATAAGAAGCTAATATTAGCCATAAAGTGGATGTTGATTCACTCCTTTCACACACATCAACAAGTAGACGCTGTCTTGTTACTTTGGGCCTAAAATTATAAGATTAGGTAAGTAAAGCTTTATTTATATAGTACTTTTTAGAACACAATCACAAAGTGCTTCACAAACAAATAAATATGAACACACATACACATGTATATATATATCAATGTATACATACACAAACATACACAATCATATACCTTCATAACCAACGGATAAATACTAACATACAGATGAATCAAACAAGAGGAAAAGAGAGACAACAACAATAAGTAAACAAACACAGGACAGGAGATCTATAAAAAGGCTTGCAGTGGAGGGTTTTGAGGAGCTGCTTAAAACAGTCCAAGGATTCATCAATCTGAGTGATTGGGGAAGGTGATTCCACAGTGTTGGGGCTAAACAGCGAAGGCACGGTCAGCTTTAGTTTTGCAGTTAGAACGGGGAATGGATAAAAGACCAAGATTTAAGGGGAGCAGTGGTCGAGGAGTGGAATGAGGAACAAGGAGATCTGAAATGTAATTGGGGGGCAAGGTCATGAAGAGCCTTAAGTTATATGTAATCAGCAGCATCCTGTAGATAGGGCCCGAGCAGTAACACTGCGAAGGCCCTGTTGAAAGTGCTCAGGTTATTATTGTTTTAATACCAAATTAATCGCATTTTTGGAGGTCGCAACATGCTTGACCGCTCACAAAACTTGGTGGTAGCGAATAATTTAGTATTCTATTGGTGCCGTAAATGGCCGTCGCAAAATGGCTTAGCCACACCCCCAGCTGAATGTTGGTAATGTTGGAAAATTGGTACACAATACTCCATTTTAAATTTTGTTTACTTCAAAATGTATTTGGAAAAACAAACTACTAGTATATGAAGATCATTTCTATCAGACAGGGTTGATAACAGGACACAGGTCTTTGGCCACATTGGATGTTGGATGGATATTTATGTGTGGGAGCATCTGAAACTGATGGTTTTCTGGATTACTGATGGTTTGAATCCCCTGAACATCCGTACAGATCTGGGAGACAATTGTAAATAAAACTGCCTTTTCATCATCTACTGTAGCTGCTCAGTGAACTACAGCAGCAGACTGTGAATGTGAAAACAGACAGAGCTGAAGAAAGTGCATGATCAGCAAAACATCTGACTGAGTAATAAAGCTTTAAACAGTTGTCATTAGTTACAAGATGCTTTTTTAATTGTGCGAATTTTACTCACATTTCACATTAATAGAGATGTATTTATATGTCCTCCCCAGCTCAGCTGTACAGTAATACTCTCCAGAGTCAGAGGACTGGATGGACCTGAAGACAAGCTGTGGTTCTTTACTGAGAGGTTGAAGGTATCGATTTCCATTCTCTTTGTACCAGGTATAATTAGCTGCTGGGTTAGCATCACTGCTACAGGTCAGAGTCACTGAACTGCCCTCCACTATCTCACCAGAGGGACTCACTGACACAGAGGAAACCCTCAGAGCATCTTAAGGAGAAAACACGGACATGTTTTAACTTTAAGATGCAGACGAGTTTTCACAGAGGAACTTGAGATTTAGATGTAAAATATAAATGCTTAACAACAGACGAGAGAAGAAGCTTTCTGCTACATTTGGATTTCTGCAACATTAAACATGCAAATAACAACAAGAGAAAAGAAATGTCAATCAGAAGTATTGATGTAAGTGTATTCTATAAGACAACAGAACAGTGTAACTTTAGGAACTTTTGTCCTCTGCTCAGTGTATTATTAAATTAAAACTGATGTATTTTAAAATGTAATCCTGCTAATTATCCCCATTTTTACTAAATGTAACTGTAATGGATTAAATTGACCTTTTCTGTATCATGATTATGTGACTCACTTACATGCAGTGCGTTACTCCCCAAGTCAGAACACTAGTGGCACTAACAACTTGTAATTCCTCACAACTTGAAACATCTTTTCACTCCTGTTTTTGTGGAGTGACCAGAGTAAAAATGTTAGTTAAAGCCTTGAACCAAGATGTTTATTGCATCTGAAATTAAGGGTCAAGATTGCTGAATCACAAATTTACAAGGAGAAGTGTCGACTAAAGACAGAGGAACATAAAATCATGGAATATCTATGATGATATAAGTTTTGTTGTCATTTAAATGTCCCCCATCATTTCTTCCAACAGAATGGCCACACAAAGAATTTACAAACTCTAAAGACTCCACAAATCTTGTTTAGAGCGGTTATTTTACATAGTTTACGGTGAAACAGAAAATATTTGGGTTTTATCCAGTTCTTCTATATGAATCATCAAATAACACTGAATTAGTTAAGTTACAGTAAGAAGGTTAAAGGCTCCATCAGATGATGTTATGTTAGTGGAAGACTGTAAGTAAACTCACACACTGGAGGAGAGGGGAACTTCTCATATCCTTCTACAGCACAGGAATAGCTGTCTGCAGGATAAACAGAGACTGAATATGAAGATGTTCCTCTCCACATCTTCTGTCTATTCTTGTACCAGACGTAGTGAAGATGATCAGGTAGACGACAACTGCTGTGACACTTCAGTTCTGCCCGGTTATAAGACTTGTAGACCAATAATCTGCTCACCTGCACCTGGAGATCTGAATATGTGAATAAGGAACAGAAGTCTTCATTTAAGACTGAACTGTCAACACACACACACACACACACACACACATACAAACACAAATTACCTTCATAAGATGTTGAAAATGTTACCTGTAACCATTCCTGTAACCGACAAAGTGACTCCAGGTGAACCAGTATATTTCCCATTATGTTGGTTTGTTATGAATCTTAACTTGTACTCAGCTGAGTCGCTCTCTCTCAGGTCTGTGATTCTCAGAGTGCAGTCGTTGTTACCAAAGATATACTGCACACGACCTGAATACTCTGGGTCTGATCTTATATCCACATAGTCATTATTACTCACTCTCGTAAACCAGAATTTTTCCTTAACTTGGGTTATATGGTCATTTATCCTGGATGGGTATCTGTAAGTGCAGCTTATGTCCACTGTTGATCCTTTTAAGGCACAGATCTCAGTAGAGGTGTAAGTCACTCCCCAGTCATCCTGACCCTGTACCACTGTAACACAGAGCACATCAGGGCACACGATCAAAATCAACAATCAGTTTATAAGAAGAAACAAATCATAAGACCAATATGATTTGGGGAAAAAGAAACCTGGAAAAGCTTCCAAATCCTCAATTATTTGATTAATTATTGTAATAACCCGTTCCTAATCAGGCATCTATCTAATTAGAATTGAAGTGGAATATATAGTTTTAGCAATTATGGAGCTAAAACTATGCTATATATGATATATGCTGATACACACACATGACACGCCTCACTCCATAATCACTAACCAAGCGCACCCTTCCAATCAGGTGGTCTATTTAAACTGCACAATTTCCCAGCTCTCCCTCTGCTCTGTCAATGCCGCTGTTGCCCTGCATTTGTATTGCTGCCTGCTGCTCTGTAAGCCCCACCACCAACCCAGCATCCACCTGTAGGCTCCGGCTAGGGTTTAAGGTATTTTCTCATCACTCCCCAATATCTCTATATAAACATATCTGCGAGGAATGATGAGGTCTGAGCCTCGACGCCAAAATCTAAATATGCCATACTGCTGTGATAAACATTTCAAACGTGAGTTGTCTGACTAAATTACCAGAGTAAACACATACATGGAGAAATATTTGCTCAGTTTTACACAGTCAAAGAAAGAGTGGAAAATGGAAATGAAATCTACAGTTCATCTGTAGAAAGCATGTGTACATTTTCCACTCTATGATAAAAGTCAAGAACACATAGCATGGAAATATCACACTGAGGTCGGTACAAAAAAGAACTGGCAGGGTGTGTCGCAGATGTGTGAACAAGGAAGAGAAGAAACAGAGCAATAGGTTTGCACAGAGTGAGGAGGGAACGGATACTCAAATACCCACAATACTCTGAGTTTAACATACATAAAAGTGCTCAGCACACGGCTACTTTATGCAAAAGAAGAGAACAAAAGACGTTGGCAAAAGAAATAGAAGATTGTTCTAATATCTATTACAACAGACAAATTAATGTCTGGAGAGTTTAAACGATTGTTCACAAAAAGTCTTCCACACAACTTTGATCCACTTATTTCCACATTTTCCCAGATCCCCCTCTTTTAATGCAGTGAATGTAACTGTAGATATACAGTACCTGACACAGAGAGAAGGAAGACAACAAATCCACTCGCTGCTGCACTTAAACTCATAGCTGCTCCTCTCATCTCTCTGTGAGGCTTCAGAGACAATAAAACATGTCAGCAGGTAAAATAATAATGTACACAGGAGGTAAACAGTATCAGTCACATCAATGAACAATTCTACTTACACTGAAGAAGGACGTCGTCTTTAAATCTGTCTTTCCTCTGTGATCTGGAAGCAGAAGACAGAAGTTAGGCTGTTAAAAGACTAGCTTTACTTCCTCTTTTTATTAACATACATGATAAGGCAAATGCCAGTAAACACCCACATCACAATTACGATGTCATGTTTTGCAAGCAACCAACTTTATATGAGTAAGAAACTAGGGCTATGACCCGTTGGTACCAAACCTGTTTCATTGCCAACATCCCACTGACATAAAGTCTGCCTCAGTACTGGATGCAAAAAGTGACTGATTACAGTGTTTATTTTAAAAATTGAGAAATATATAAAAACTTCAACTGCACTGACAGACCCATATATGTATATGTGTTTTTTTTACGAGGACACTGGTGAGCAAAGCATCTGAGAAACAGTGTGATTCTGTCGACTGTGTACAAAGCAGCTGTCAAACTCTACATCAACAAATCTGCAGACTCACTTGCTAACATTAGCCTGCCATTGAAGTGAGGCAGTGGAGCGAAGGGACCAAGATGAGTGGAGCATACTTATAGTTTACTTTGTGTTTATAGATAATTTATTTGAATTCATTCAAACAAATTGTGTCATAAAAGATTTGCTCAAACGTGATTTTTGCAAAAAGTGACAGCCCTACTGCCCTCTGGTGGCTGACTACAGTATACGTCATAATGCTCATTGCCTTCATGTTAGCAGATGGGACAACATGACATTAGTTCTTATCAAACTGATGTTTGTTCAAGTGTTAATTTTTCTGACACCTTTAGTTTTGTTATTTGAAGCAATCAACAGTTGAGCCCTGCTCAAGACTGAGTCGGCCGGGCGTAGGGGCGGGACCGTGATACCGCGGTGCCAACCCAGATCAGACTCTGGCTCCAACTGGCAAAAGATGGGATTGTTGTACAGTGGGAGTGGAGACGCGACATCCATTTTTTATGTCAATAGTCCTGATAGACACTCAACGGCCTCATAAAGCCACAAGCTGAAGACAGAGCTTTGAACCCTCAGCACTGTCAATTAGGTGAAAAGCTCCAAGAAAAGCTGTATGTTTCCTCCTTAAAGTCTGTTAATGAACCTTTGAGTTGAGATTATTTTGTCACGTTACAGTAAGGGTACAGTTAAGTTGAAATTAAACCAGTGGCAGAGCAGAAAGAACTCAATTGCAAATTGCTGCGTCCTTCCTTCCTCTGGAGTTTGTATTCCTGAGGTTGAACTCCCAACGTACACAAGTCTGAGATTGGCATATTGTACTGACAAAGTACTAGAGTAGTCTGTCACCAGCAGTTTGTGATTCTGCTGTTCAGTTTCACCCTAAGAAGAGATTGTTTTTATACCACAAGATCACTACAGTAAAAACATTAGTGCTAAATATGTAATGATACAGAAAACAGAGCTTCAGACTTGAAAAGTGGCCATTTTGGCATTTATTAGACAGAGAAGGAGGACAATACAAAAACACCCACTGCTGCTGTTCAATGCTCTTCTCATCTCTTTTCTTCAATGACAATAAAACAAATAAGAAAATGTTAATTAATCGATTAATGTACACAAGATATATTAGTCTCAAATGCTTCTACAATCAGAAAGAAGCTGTCTTGAACTATAACGTCCTCTGTAGTCGGGAGGTTTAAGCAGGACACAGAAAGCAGGCAGTTAAAATACACCAGGTTTCCTTCCTCTTCACATTATTACTATGCATTGTGAATACAGTAAATGACCAAGAAAAGAACTTATTCTGTTATTTTGCAGACTATATATCAACTTCATAATGTAATCTATATGAGACAGAATGAGAGAGAGTTTTGTGGTGTTCCTTTCTGTAAATGCAGGTATAATTCAGTATCTATTCAGTATCTAGTAAAGAATATTCTGTCAATCCTTGCAGCAAGGACTGTACTCTTCAGTGCCTGATGTGACGTCTCAGAGTTGTTGCTGGGCGGGGTGTGAGGACTTGTGTGAACTTGAAGAGCGAGGCCCTACTCATTGACATTCATGTGCATGAATTATGGTCACACAGACATAGCTATTCTAGTTCAACTGCACGTCTTATCTCAGTGCAAAATACATTTATAACAAGTAACGAAAGAATTCCAATACACTGAAGCCACCCCAATGATTGCATGTTTCCATGCGTGTCATAGCATCAAATATGTTCTTATCAATGTAAGAAACAACCTTTGACTTACAGTTTATGCTGGTGGTAGTTACATTTTTGACACTGTTGATCACTCTTTCCTTTTGGATTGCCTTGAAAAGTGGCTCAGCATCAGGGACACTGCCCTAAAATGGTTTAAATCCTATTTACACAACACATCTGTTACATTGACCATGTTATATTAACGTGTAAGCATTTGCTAACGCTAATGAAAAAGTTCAGGGATCATCAAAGTCAAGTTATCCTGTGCGGGATATGAATGTCTATACCAAACTTTATGACCATCCATCCAATAGTTGAGACATTTCCGATTCCAACGACACATGGAGTGAGGAAAGTTAGGGAATCCCCTAAATCAACAGACTATAGATTCCTGTTGTATTTATGTTTTGATGACTGTACTGTACAGTGCAGCTGGATCCTCCACAGTTTGTGGAACTCTAGACCTGAAAGGAAAGAAAAGATTGGAAATTGGAGGAAATTGTGGAAATGTTTTAGTGAGGATAATGTTCCTGTGAGAAGAGCTCACCTGGGGTCAGTAATGGCGCGGTTAAATTTGACGGCAGCGTACTCAACAACCTCTTCTTCTTCCTCTTTGTGTCTGCGGGGTCCAGCTGGTCTGATGTTGGCATACACAGGATCTGCCTGGTTGTTGGAGAAGTGGACGCTGGCATAGTGAAGGTCATCCTGCTCCTCCGACTGATTGAATGGATACTGAGAAGGAAGAGGAGAAGTAGAAGTCGACCAATAGAGGCCGATATAAATCAATCTTATAATAAATATGGATAACTGAAAAATTCACTCAAAGTAAGATAATAAATAAAGATAATAATAAATAATAATTTCCTAAACTTAGATTTTTTAAATTATTTTAGCAATTATTTCCCCACAAAATTAGTAATTCCAGTTGAGAAGCTTGATCTTATAATGGGATGCAAAACAGTAATGTATAGTAGCGGTGTGACTGGGAGCCATGGTGCCAGTCAGACTGCATGTCTGACATAGATAATATTTTAGTTACGTATCTTTTTTTTTTTGTCCCTCCATTTCTGATTGATTTGCATTCAAGAATGAGGGTTTTACGTAGTATGAGCCTGTGTGAGGGCAGATGCCATGGCAGACTGGCGATACAGACACACAAGAGTGGCAAGCTGCAGATCATAGCAAGGAGAAACTTTTCATTTAGACCATGTCTGAAAATGAATGACAAGCTTAAGTCTCGGTGTGGTTGTGGCTCAGGAGGTAGAGGGAGTAGGTGGTTCAATCCCCACCTTCTCTGATCCACATTACACTGAAACCCAAATTGCTTCTAATGGTGTAGTTAGCACACTGTAGCTCACTGACGTCATTGCGTGAGTGTGTGTGTACAACCACTCATTCACTCTTAAAGCACTTTGGATAAAAGTCCTATTATGTAGCCATTTGAAGTATTTTGGATTAGTTTTGTTTGCATAAATTAACTTGAACCAACACCAAGGTCACAGTTCCCGGTTGGATCGGAGCGGCCTCAACCAGCCAGCATAGTGAGCAACACTGGGGCTACCCAGTTGGGCAACAGGCCTGCTGTGGCAATTAAACAAGTATCACAGCAATATTTTAGAGTAAAATGGTAAACTCTGGTGGACACTCTATTTAATTACATTCAAGACAACAGGAGGAAAAAGAGAGTTCATATAAGCAAGAACTAGACTAACTTCTGGAGGGTGGCATAAGAGTGACATTCAGTCCTTCTCAGTGAGGAGAGTTTTAAAGTTGCAGAGAAATTTGTTTAATCTTTAACCCACCTGTTCCCTGCTGTCTGGTCTATCTCCAGGATCAAATGATTTCTTGGATGCTCTCTTTTTTCTGGTTTGGAGAATTAATTCAAAACAAAGGAATTACAAAACTGACGACAAATAAGACAGATTTTCAGGTATTTCACGTACAATGCTTTAGTAAAATGTATTTACTCACTTAATCAGTACAAAGATAGTGAGCCATATGATACCCAGGAAAATAGCAGGAGTTGGTCCAATGACGGCTAATTTCCATAATCCTGGGAAAACTGTAATAAAACAGCAGACTTAATTCAAGGGGGTTTTAAATATTTGGCCCCATAGGTTGATATAACAAAGTAATTTTAATTGCACATGCAATTATGCCCCCCTAACAAATAAAACTGAAGCAGACATTGTAAAGTCAGTAGTCATAGAGTTTTTATTTTTCAATTTCTAATGTCAGTAGTTACTGTATGGTGCTGGACCGTGGCATTGGCCAGCCGGGCCCTCGCAGCCTCAGACAGCACAGAGCTGTCTGGCAGACTTGGCTGATCTGATACTTTCAGTACTGAGGGAGGATAGTGATCTGATGTGTACAAGTTAAATGAAAAATATACCTGTTAAAATATTCAGATGTAAGGTGGAGTTATGGCGTCCTCTTCTGTTCTGGGCTTCACAGTAATAATTCCCACTGTGTTCAGGTCTGAAGTCAGTGATGGTGAAGATCTGTCCTGATGTTTTTGGTGAGTCTTCATTCTCCTTGTACCAGGTATAATTAGCTGCTGGGTTAGCATCACTGCTACAGGTCAGATTCACTGAACTGCCCTCCACTATCTCACCAGAGGGACTCACTGACACAGAGGGAACCCTCGGAGCATCTGCAAAAGATAAAAAGATGAAGATAGCTTTCTTTGGTGCTACATGTTGTGAAGAATATGAAATGTTTCAGGTGGTGTTACTGGCAGCAGACAGAGCTGAAGAAAGCATTAACAAAAATTATTCCTTGGTTTTACAGCATAAGAATATTTTTAAATTCATCATATTCTTCATATATTAAATGTCATTACTTTTAAGAAAAAATTTCTTACTTTGTTAATTTGTGCATTCCTGAAACAGACTGCAGCTGTTGACGTGTGTGTGTGTGTGTGTGTGTGTGTGTGTGTGTGTGTGTATTGGGTGAATTGATCTATAAACCATCAACTCTAAAAGGAGCCTAATGTTCCCTTTCCATTTTTAAGGACAACAGAATGAAATAATGTCAGACAAATAAGGTTGAAGTGTGTTGTAAACACTGCAGTGATGGTCCTGATTGACTATTGATCAGCAGAGTTAGGTTGATATAGTTACTGATATATTCCAGGTGAAAGTTGCTAATCAGGAAAATAACATCAAAATATGTTTCCTTTTCTGCAGTGAAAGCTTCCTCTACATTGGTGTTCTCCAGTGAATTTATGGTACCAACTGATGATGTTGGTTCAGTAAATGTAACTGAGTGTGGAACAAAAAGCTCCTACAATCCATAAAATGTTGCAACACAATGAAATCCAGACAGCAATTTTGTTTACTTGAAAATGTGTTTGGAAAAACTATTATCTAAAACTGCCTTTTCATCATCTACTGTAGCTGCTCAGTGAACTAAAGCAGCAGACTGTGAATGTGAAACAGACAGAGCTGAAGAAAGTGCATGATCAGCAAAACATCTGACTGAGTAATAAAGCTTTAAACAGTTGTCATTAGTTACAAGATGCTTTTTAAATCAGCTGCATTTTACTCACATTTCACATTAATAGAGATGTATTCAGATGTCCTCCCCAGCTCAGTTGTACAGTAATACTCTCCAGAGTCAGAGGACTGGATGGACCTGAAGACAAACTGTGGTTCTTTACTGCAAGGTTGAAGGTATCGATTCCCAAACTTCTTGTACCAGGTATAAGTAGTTGCTGGGACATATCTGGTACAACTCAGAGTCACTGAACTGCCCTCCACTATCTCACCAGAGGGACTCACTGACACAGTTGCATCCCTCGAGGCATCTGGAGGAAAAACATTAACGTACTGAACATTTAATTTCAAGAAACAAAAAACGAGTGTTTGATTTTGTCCCATAACAGAAACTACATGTTGTCCTGTTACCTTGGGCACTTTATTTGTTAGGTTTGACACTACCAGCCCAGTGGAGTTTAATTCATTGTGTGTGTGTGTGTGTGTGTGTGTGTGCGCGTGTGTGCGTGTGTGCCTACGTGCGTGTGTGTGTGTATTAGCAATGGGGGTCCACATAAGGAACGTTATAAGAGAAGTCCAACTGGATGTTCCTCATAGGTTTAAATCAAATTGAAACCCTAAAGTACATGAAAATCACAGACATAAAGACCAACAGTTCATCAGTGCTGAAGAAAGGAGATCAAGGAAATGATTCTGGTTCTGTGTCTTTGGACACTTCCATGTTTACTGTTGACTTCTAGTCGGTAAATAAGCTAAATGAAAGTATTAAACAATGTAAATCTGTGTCAGATCATTTTTTCACGTGTGATCTCCTCACTACCACAAGAAACCTTGATTGGACAGATAATGTAACTCTAATCACTTGTAATTCTTTAGAACTTCAAACATCTGACTTCATTCTTTCCACTCATGTTTTTGTGGATGGACCAGAATAAAAAGTGTGAGTTAAAAAGCTGGACACAGGAGGTGTTGTGCAACTGAAATTAAGATTGACAAATAAAAAATTCACAGATATTCAAAACTGAACTAAAGATACAACAGCAGATCATTTCTATGATGCTCAGCACAAGTTTTTTGTGATCAAAACTATTTATCAACTCAGACATGACAACAAAGCTTTAGTTGATATATTTTCCATGTGAGCTGTTATTTTACAGATTTATTTTGCAGAAACAGAAAATAGATAATTATACAACATGTCTACAGTCTGTTGGGGCTGTGATTTTATTTTATCCAATTGTGCACTATGAATCATTCAAACACTACTGAGTTACATGTACAAGTACAGTACAAAAGGTTAAAGGCTCCATCAGATGATGTTATGTTAGTGGAAGACTGTAAGTAAACTCACACACTGGAGGAGAGGGGAACTTCTCATATCCTTCTGCAGCACAGGAATAACTGTCTGCAGGATAAACATAGACTGAAAATGAAGATGTTGTTCTCCAAGTCTTCTGTCCATTCTTGTACCAGACGTAATAAAGATGACCGGGTAGACAACTGCTGTGACACTTGAGCTCGGCCCAGTCATAATACGTATAGATCTCTGATCTGCTCACCTGCACCTGGAGATCTGAATATGTGAATAAGGAACAGAAGTCTTCATTTTAGACTGAACTGTCAACATACACACACATACAAACACACAGACACAAGTAACCTTCTTAGGTGTTGGACACTTGGAATTCAATTAATCAATATTCAGATAAAAATGTTACCTGTGACAGACAAAGTGACTCCAGGTGAACCAGTATATTTCCCATTATGTTGGTTTGTTATGAATCTGAACTTGTACTCAGCTGAGTCGCTCTCTCTCAGGTCTGTGATTCTCAGAGTGCAGTCATTGTTACCACAGATATACTGCACACGACCTGAATACTCTGGGTCTGTTTTTATATCCACATAGTCATTATTACTTGCTCTCGTAAACCACATTTTTTTCTCGACTTTGGTTATACAGGCATTTATCCTGGATGGGTATCTGTAGGTGCAGCTTATGTCCACTGTTGATCCTTTTAAGGCACAGATCTCAGTAGAGGTGTAAGTCACTCCCCAGCCCTTCTGTCCCTGTACCACTGTAACACAGAGCACATAAGGAGCCACAATCACAATTAATAACTTCAGTTAACAGGCAGTTTACAAGAGAAAGTGGATCATAAGTCCAATATTATTTGGGGGAAAGAAAACTTGGACAAACTTTAAAATCTGACGAATTATTTTCATAAAAAGTTGTTAATAATGGATCTATATAACTAGAACTCAACTGGCACAATCAATTAGGTTTTTGTCATTTCTATCATTGTTTGGGACATTGTGCTGGAAACATTTGTTACTTCTTTGATAATTATTAAAGCCTTTGCTTTTCTTCATTCGTTCTCTCTGTTCACTCTGTGGTCAGGTTGCTGCTGAGTTGAAAGTGAAAAGCAAAAGAAATGCTGAACACTGACTTGTGTGAGACTGTCAACAGCAGCTATGATATGAAGATAAGATCAAAGCCGAAAACGTCTGTCAACACATAGCATGGAAATATCAGGTCAGACAGTACAAAATAAACTGATTGCAGATGCATGATAATAGGAGATAAGTTGAGTATGTGGTGACTGCAAGAAAGACCCTCCAAACAAAATGATGTTTGATAAAAGTAGCTGCAGAACTACAGCTATAGAATAATCTTCCACCGCAGCAGATGGTTCTTCTGCAACCTAGGTTGCTTTAAAAAAAAATTAACTTCAAAATATGTTTTTACTGCGTGAACAGTTCTGAATGAAACGCACAATATTCTCAGTTTACAGCATGTACGACTGCTTAGCATTAGCTACTTTATGCAAAAGATGTTGGCCAACACAATACAAGTCTGTACTAATGTCTATTATAACTGGCACAGAAACAAACATATTTATTTAAAAACAAATTAATGTCAGGAGAGTTTGAACAATAGTATGTGTGAAACGTTTCTAGAACACACAACTTTGATCCACTTCTTTCCACATTACCCAGATCCCCCTCTTTTAATGCAGTGAATGTAACTGTAGATATACAGTACCTGACACAGAGAGAAGGAAGACAACAAATCCACTCGCTGCTGCACTTAAACTCATAGCTGCTCCTCTCATCTCTCTGTGAGGCTTCAGAGACAATAAAACATGTCAGCAGGTAAAATAATAATGTACACAGGAGGTAAACAGTATCAGTCACATCAATGAACACTTCTACTTACACTGAAGAAGGACGTCGTCTTTAAAGATGACTTTCCTCTGTGGTCAGTAAGCAGAAGACGGATGTCAGGCTGTTAAACTGCTAGATATACTTCCTCTTAGATTATTAATATTCATGATGAGCCAAATGCCAGTAAACACCCACATCACAACAAATATGTGTTGTTTTAAAAACTTAACAGGAGAGAAATTGAAACTAGTGTGAATTTAAATGCCCACATGCTACTGAGACAAGACCAGTACGAGGAAGCAGTACGAGATGCAAAGAGTGACATGCTGAGCACAGTGTTTATTTTAAGTATTGAGCGACATGCAAAAAAGTGGATTACATATGACACATGTTATGTGTCATTGTACTTTTGCTATCCATTTGCTTGTGTGTGTTATGTCTCTGTGTTCAAGGTGCAGTTCCTGAGTGATGATTGAGGGCGCCTGCATGAAGCTGTGGGTGTGGCCTATATAAGCGGATCCTTTCACCACCCTCACTCTCTCAACTGCCTGGCATAAGATCCCAGCCTTTGTTTGTGTTGCTCTTCCTTTGTCTTGTTGTAAATAAATGTTATTCTTTTGCATCTTACCTAGTATGGTGTCTCTTAATGTGTTGTGACTTTGAGCCGGTCGTAACACACAGCAATCAGGGTGTCAATCACATGACCGTTCCTTTACGATAACACTTTGTAACTGACTCACAGGCATTCTGACCAAGTGTCACTGTGATACAGAGCGCATCTAATCACTTCTTTTGAAGGTGTAGGGAAATAAGTGAAATGAGTTGGACCTATGTTTGTGAACCAGTTTTACTGAACAGGATGAACAGCAGACCTTTTAAGATGAAGGAAAATAACTAATAGATTTTTTTCTTTCACTC